CTATATGTATTAGCAAAATAAAAGTTATACTTTTCTTACAGAGACTTACAGACAATCTATTTTATCTACAATTCATCTAAACTTTTCCTTCATCAAATGAGTTAAATGAGGTTCTTAAAGTTTTTATAACAAATACTACCTCTGAAATTATTACGTTTTCCATTTACCAGCATAACAGCAGTTGTAAACAGCAGAGTCTGGTATAAACAAGCAAAATGACTTACATTTTATTTCTTTGGCTAAACAAAAGAAATCTTAATTGACACATACCAGCCCTTGTTTTGCCTTTGATTTTGGAATCACTGAGATACAAAAACCACACCTAACATTGGTAAAATATTGTTTTTTAGATATATGTATATAATTGCTGATGAGAACAGCACCATGTCCTGCAATCTTGGCTCTTCTTCTGCATTTATCGACTGAGATGAACTTGAACAGGAGATAATTTCCCTCGCTGTTTTGCACGTTGTGTTGTTAGCAGATAGCAGAAACGTCATTGTTGCTATTTTGCACATGGAATACGTGGATGCATGTTTTACACACTGATTCTGCATTTTGACGTGTTTCAAATAAAACAGACATTCTTAAAAAGCCTAGTGTATTTATTTAGGAGGTTATTGCATTTAGTCAATCTTTAAATATGTTAGAGATCATTCGTGCATTTTTAAGAAATTCTTGAATCTCCTGTGTTAGCCGTGTGGAGCTGCCTAAATGCTTGCTGGTACAAAGCACCACCTGTTTGTACATATAGCTCCTCCCTGGAGCTCAGTCTGCAGCCGAGATCCTGCCCCACAGAGCACCCCTCCCCCAAAGCATTGTTGTGAAGATGTGCTGAAGTGGGAGTGTCAGAAATGGTAGAAGCTTCCTAAAAACGATACCAATTTAGATAAAAAAATCAATTTTATTTTTGATATATACAGCATGATTCAGAAAAAATGAAGGTAACATTGTGGTATAACTGAACGACGTGCCCCCCTTTAAATTTTTATATGTATTTAGAAACGTGTACAAATATTTATAATTGAAATAGGGAAAACCACATGATGAAATGTGATTAATTTTCACAGTATCCTGGCACTTGTTTTATTTATTTTTTATTTTTGGACAATGTACAAATAATTATCTGGCAATGCGTTTGAAAATCCACCCAAAATACTTGTTTGCTTCTGGTGTGTTCAAGTGTTTCCTCTTCCTGGTCCCCTGACCCAGTCACTCCCTGCAAACAAATTTGTGCACAAAGTGAGACAAAGAAAGSGAGAGAAAGCAAGAGAAAAAGAGAGGGAGGCCTTTACACAGTGGCCATTCTGGATACTTTCCAAAGGTTTTGCCAGTCACTATGGAGACCTGGAAAACAGCCCTGACTGTGTAACTCCTCTGTTTTCACTAYGGTCCAAAGGTATCCAGTCAAAGCTTGATTCCCTGAAATGAGCTAACATGTCGGCTCAGTTTTTTTTTTTGTTTGTTTTTTTGTGCCTCACCATTGTGAAAAGGTCTGGTTTGCTGGAGAAAACAATAAAAAGACAAAGGTGTTTTTGATAACCGGTGGCAGGAAGAGGAGCTGGAGTCTTGGTTGAGTTTTAACCAAATGTGATGATTATCTGCGTGTTTAATTAYAAAATTCATGAGATAAAACCTGACTGAGTCCGACTTTGTGACAGAATGAAAGAAGTCAAGTTGAACATTAAATTAAATGGACCTTTGCTAATGACCCAGCTGTCACACACTGGCTCAATAAAGGGTCACTGGGGGCCACTGGCAGGGATTTACTGCCTCCTGTTGTCCCTGATTTACTTCAGACTGCTCTTTGTGTACTCACTGTGGTACATTACGCTGCAACACTCCCACCTGTAAATCTTGAGAAAGGTCCGTCTATTTTTCAGGCCTAACCAATTCATCTGCACACACACACACACATCTGTATGTTTGTAATGAAAATGCATTTCACATTTTTMCACATTTGTTTGTGCTCATACTATCTTTTTCTCTTGTTCCATTTTGTCTCGGATAAATATTTTTGAAGATGATCRCTGTGGCTACCAAGAGTATGAGTTGGTGAGTCACCATCACGGGAGATGAAACAAAGAGCGCCTCTTGTTGCTGAGGGCCTGCAGGTTTTGAAGTGATGACACCCAGAAACAATTCGKTTCAACCCCATGTCCCGTAACAAACCGGCTGACCCTGATAAATGTTTGCTTCTCTTTGTTCAACCTCTTTTAATCAGTTCCCACTTCAGTGACGTCGCTTTTGAGTGGAAAAAAAGAGGAATTTTGGCAATATCAGCACAACGACCGGGCAGTAAATTGCGATGATTGACAAGAGCTGGAGCTGTTTGGCTCAAACTGTGGCACCAGTAAACACGGGGGCAACAGACAATCGTTCCAGCCGGCTGTCTGCATTCTGCTGCAGAAGTTAGGTGACAGATCAGCACTACACAATCCCCGCTCTGTCTGGGACAATCCTGGCCAGCCCTAACAGAGCAGGCTCATAATGGGTCAGCATGGGAGCAGGAATTTTCATGACCACCCCCCCCCCACCCCCACTTCCCTCCCTTCCCTCACCCACTGCCTCTTAGAGAGTGGGTTTCGTGTGAATTTCCAGATCAAGGCTGGATATAAACACCAACAAAYGCCTGTTGGCGTTTATTTATGTTTTACTTTAAATAACTGTGTCATTCTGGTTTGGTGAGATTCTTTAGATGTTTGTAGATATTTGGTGGACATTGAGAGCAGTGATAAAACTGCTTCCATCCTATTCCACAACTGGTCCATAGAAATCTGAGATAATTATGCTGTGTGGAAACGTTGGTAGGATTGATTTCTTTCAAAGATTTGCTAATATTAATACGGCATATTGAATTCTTTCRTCCCCCTGCTGCTAAATTGTTCCACCGGCCGAGTCATAAGCCCAAAGTGTGACCAACCAGTCAAAAAACAAAATAGTTTCAAAAAATTCTACCTCCTTTTTTTTCATGACAAAGATGTCATCGTCTTTAAGAATGTTTTATCTTTAAAAGCAATCATTTTACAGATAACTTTTTCTCCTTTTAATAAACCAGTTTGTTCTGCTTAACTTAATAGTGTACATTTTCTGTTTCAAATTATGAAATCATGTTCTTTTTCTCGCTTTTCATTTTATTTTTTCATGTTTGGCATCCTTGAGTGTCCTGAAAGGCGCTTTTTTAATGTAAAGTATTATGTTACTGAAACTTTCACCAAATTTACAAAAGCTCAAGTGAAATTTAGCCTCAGCCCTGATAATCCAGTGAATAACACCTCATTTTATTTTTAATGTATTTAAACTGAAATACATTTCAACCTCTAACACTTTGGAGCCAGAAACGTTTAGAGGACTTAAAAACAATAAAAGAAGAAAAATCATTTCTTTCATGCACAATACACAGTCATGTTTTGCTTTCCGGAGGCAAGCRTCTTGTGACCCCCACACTTCATGATGTTTTCATGGTCATTAAATGACAATTTCAGAGATGGAGACACAGATTTTTTTTCYTTTTTTTAAAATCTAGAAACAACTTGAATGTTATTGGCTGTGTGCTTTAATACCTCCTGACCTTGTGACTCTTTGATGCCTCCTAATGGAACTGCACAGAGAGGAATATAATTGCTGCTTTCAGTGCTTGTTTGTTTTTGATGTTTTTTTCTCTTAAATGTTGCTGATCTTGTTGTACTTAAGCAAACTGTACTTTTCCCCTTTTATCATAAATAGAATGTCCTTTTAATCTGTGCAGGACTTGCCACAGAGAGTAAAACACTTGACACTTGTTTTGCACCTGATGCCCTTCCTGAAAAAGCTCAAACCTGCATCCTTTTGACCATGGCATTACCATGGTCCCACTCATACACGTTTTTTTCAATAAAAATGCTGGTTAAAGGGGCTCCATTGGGAGCACTGTTTATGCCCCTGCACAGTCGCATCTCAAAGGCGTCAAATCGACTTCAATTCTTCACATCCTCAGGGCAAATATGTGAAAGTTTCTGTCAAAGAATTGTTTGTGCCTTGAGAAGGATTTTAGTGAACGACCCGAAGCAGAACCCACAGCCTGATATTATTCAGAGTGAACTAAGCTCAGTATCATCAGTAATTAGGAGGTGTAGAGTGTCACTGGCTCAGCTCTTCTGCTCTTTACTTCTCGGAATCACAGAGAGTCAGCAGCACCGGCTGCTGACAGGGGAGTGAGGCAGAGGAGGAAGAGGATGGAGTTATTCTCTATACAGCAGATCAAAGTTTTTATTTGTTGCCGATTCAACCCAGAGAGCAAATAATAAACTGCAAACCTCACCATATTGATCGGTATTTCACCAAACCTCTTCATCTCTGAGGGTCAGTGAGATCATCAGAGACCTGACGTGGGCTTTAAAAGTGAAGCTGTTTTCACAAACTGTACAACAACACTTTCTCCTTCTCCCTACATCACAACAAGATTCATTCATAACACCCGACATGGCTGGATGACACTTTAGTCTTGTGATTTGATAAAACTCAGCGGCAACTTAGAAGAGGAGAAGCGTAAAAAGTGCAATAATGCACGGATGATGTGTTTATCTAGATTAGGAGATAGAACAGAACTATCTTATTATCATGCTGGATTAAATAACTTGAGGTGACCACTTTAGGATTCAAAATGTCAGGTATTATTATTATTATTATTCCACTTTGCCTCAGCCCATTTTAAGTGATCTTTGCAGGGAAGATTATGGCATTTGTGAAATGGCTTCTTCTTTGCCTGATAGAGCTTTAAACCATCATCTGCGGACGGTGCAACCAACTGTGTTTACAGAATTGTGGAAGTGTCCCTGACCTTTTTTTTAGACCTGTTACTGTCTTCAATTTCAAAATTATCTCTTTTTTTTCAAACGGTGTAATTAATCGATTTGACTATGAAAAAAATGGGTTTATGAGGTTTGCAAATTAACATTTCCACAAACCAATTAATTGTGGATAAATTAACAGGCTTCTTATGATTTTGGCTGTGGTCAGACATTACTGTTTGTAGTTATTTTTTGAACAATAGGGGCAGATATAAGATTTTTCTTATTTCTGCTACCTTTCATTTCATTTGATATGTATTTTTTATATGAATTTGTTTGTTTTTAAATTAAATGAATAAATATTGAAAAAAATCCTGGATCTGTTCTGAAAGGCGAGGTTTTTGGGGGTGTTGGTGGTGGTGGGGTTGGTGGGGTGTTCCGAGCTATGATTGGATGCTCACTCTGTCAGTCAGGTCACAACTGAGGAATCTGCTCATGAGTGGGGTATAAAAAAGTTCTGGTTTAGGAAACGCCTTTCCAGGCGCACCTCGTTGCTGATGCTGCTGAGGTGGCCACATCACTCTGGAGGTTTGACAGTATCTCAAGCAAAGATGTCCTACAGACCAGCCCCGCAGTCCTCCTACAGGAAGATGTTCGGCGGGGACCGAGCCGCAGTGTCCCGGAGCAGCTACTCCAGCCGGCACTACGCCGGCCCGCCGCTGCGCTCCTCCCGGGTCTCCTACGGGCTCTCCTCCTCCGCGCCCACCGTTTACGCAGCGAGGACCCAGAGGCTCCGGAGCGGCRKCGGCGGCGGCGCAGCCATGCCCCGGCTGGCCTCCGAGAACCTGGACTTCTCCCTGTCSGACGCCATCAACAGCGAGTTCATCACGAACCGCACCAACGAGAAGGCGCAGATGCAGTCGCTCAACGACCGCTTCGCCAGCTACATCGAGAAGGTGCGCTTCTTGGAGCAGCAGAACAAGATCCTGCTGGCCGAGCTGGAGCAGCTGCGGGGCAAAGGCACGTCCCGGGTCGGGGATCTGTACGAGGACGAGATGCGGGAGCTGCGGCGCCAGGTGGACCAGCTGACCAACGAGAAGGCCCGCGTGGAGGTTCACCGGGACAACCTGGCGGACGACATCCAGAGGCTGAGAGAGAAGTAGGGGGGGCGTGGCACTCATCTGGTCCAGTTTATATMAAGAGTGGGGCAATTAATCAGACATGTTTATGATTAGTAGTCCTGATCCATTTACCCATCTTACATGCAGAAAAAAACTGCACATTTTTTCTTTTAATTTACCTGCATGTAAAAAAGAGTAGCATCAGGAAGTCTGACAAAGCAGGAAAAGTTATAAAAGTTCCAGGTCAGCATAAAAAAATCCCTGCTGCCTCTTTGTCTTTCTGCAGGTTGCAAGATGAAATCTCTCAGCGAGAGGAGGCAGAAGCCAACATGCAGAGCTTCAGACAGGTGCAGTAYGATTCTGCAAACAGTGCTCACATATTTTTTTTTTACCTCTTGTTAGCAAAATATCTCATGAACCATGCACTGGATGAAATCAATTTAAACTCTCTGGATAAAGATCTACGACTGATTACCTTGATTACCATGGAGTTGTTTTAATTCAAGAYGGTCGCCACAGCTAATCAACATCAGCCAAAATAAAAGGCACAAATCAAGTTTTACAGACACTGAGATAAACTTTGGTGTGATGCTGATGGCATTCAGCATCTTCACCAACCCCACCTCTCCAGATTTTACATAGTCTGAGTGCAGTGAAKTGCAACCGTCCAGTCCTTTCTCTCTATTAGGTCATCTCTGTCAGTTCTCAGGAGCTCCACAGATAGGAACACATTTTTTTCTCTGATGGCACAACAGCAGATTCCAGACTGACTCTGGCCTTGTACAAAAGGCCAAGTTTGCACTGCTGKGTTAAATGAGGCCTGCAGAGTTCTCCTTCTTCTTCTTTTTAGTTTTGGTTACGTCTGACAGTTTCACAGTGAATGAGCTGGACAGTGCGGCTCCGACGGAGTTATCAGAGCAAGAAGTCAAGCCGCCATGTGATCAGGCCGACTCGCTCTGCACATGAAAGTCTTTTCTCGTTATGGTCATGTTCCYTGTCAATGGGTTTCCAGTTGAATGATGATTACAAAGAATAGCTTCATAAGGCTGTCGCTGCAGAAATGACCAACCCTCCCCCGCCAAACTTTATACGAGAACTTGAACGTATGACTCAAAACAAATGTTTTCACATTAAAGGGCGACCATGTTGCAGGAAGGAAGTGGCAGCAGCGTGGCCTGCCTCGGYGGCACACAGACAACAATGCGTGGCCTGCAGCGGGCTCTGCTCAGTCAGGCAGACAGTCACTCTCCCAGCCTTGGGCTTGTTTGGAACCCCCTGCTGAATAGTTCACTTTGTTTGTGGCATTAGGACGGAGGCAAAGCAGCTTTGTTCGCTGATACTTCGGTAATTGATTTGACAACGCCCTAACAAAACTATGCGGTGGCGCTTTTACACAAAAGRCCGTTTTACACCGCTGAATACTTTGTCTTTTCAAGAAAATGTGCTCCACATTTAACTGGGTGGAGGGAGAAAATGATCATTAAAAGCTGCTGTGGAGGAATTTCAAGTTAAGCAGTTAGCTTTGACAAATAAAGGGAAAAAAGGGATTAAGGAAAAACATTCAAATCATTTGCTGAATGCAATTACTTAATATTCTATTTTGTCAGCATGTAGGCATGTTTGGACTAATTATTTTTGCACAGTGTGGAGTAGNGTGTGGAGTAGATTGACAAAAATGCATCATATTTTACATGTTTGTAATGGTTTTAAATGTTAAATCTTAATTAGAACCGCAAGATATTGATTAATTTAGTAACTGTGGGRGTTAAACGAATAGAGAAAAGCCGATTTCAAAACTTTTGTTTCCAGCTTTGCAGACACAACCCATGAAAATCACATGACAACTCTTAACAATTTGTTCTCCGGATCTGCAGTGACATGGATCATGTGCCTACAGTTGATTCTTGTTGACTCCATGTGTTTAAGTGACCTTGTCCTGCCACATAATGGGACATTTGTGCATGCTATAGCCATTGCGAATGCTTTTTACAGCACGTGAAAGTGCTGTTCCCCCTCCTTCTGTCAGCGAATGCGCCTTAAATAATTGACGTCACCTTTACAAGTCACCTTATTAAGAGTTTGTGTCATGGCACAGGATGTGGACAACGCCGCCTTGGCAAGACTGGATCTGGAGCGAAAGATCGAGTCGCTGCAGGAGGAAATTAACTTCCTCAAGAAGCTGCATGATGAGGTAAGCTTTTCTTCTTTACGTGGGCAAAGCTGAATCRCTCTGCTGCAATAACTACACTGCAGTTTGTGAAAGTTTGTGAAACCACGCCAAACTAGTGGCAATTTGAGTGGTTTTTTTTAATGATACTAAAGCTTTGTGATCAGCCTCACTGTTTGTGTCGCAGGAAATGCTGGAGCTGCAGAACCAAGCCCAGGTGCAGCAGCAGCATGTGCAGGTGGATATGGAGATGGCCAAGCCTGACCTGACCGCGGCTCTGAGGGACGTGCGTCTGCAGTATGAGAACCTGGCCTCMAAAAACATCCAGGAATCAGAGGACTGGTACAAATCCAAGGTAAAAATTGAACGGAACTAAATGAATAAAAGAAATGTAATAAAATGGACTTCAGACTGAGTGTAATCTCACATGCCAGACATTTCAGATTAGATTCTAAGAGGCTAACCAAGGCTTTCAGCAAACAGTGTTCTGCATAATCATTTTTCATGAAAGCGCCCTAACCTCAGCTGTGTTAGGCTGACAAATAGCTTGATTCTGCAGTTTATCTGAGCTTTTTGATCTTAGCTCATTGCTGTATTACAAAACTTTATTCTAATTTGTGCAATTTTCAATTGTTCTGCCTGACAACACGCGGAACTGTGAAAAGTTTCCATTTTTCCATTTTTCTACATTTAAAAATTTTCATTCATTCATTCAGCTGGGGTCTATATAAAGCGTAACTGCAATGCTTTGGTCTGAACTCTCTATTGTAACTCCACAAGCCCCTATTTCACCCCTTTTGTGTCTCAGATCAACTCGTTTTGAGGCTGTCTCTTTAAATCCAAACAAGGCGTTTCACACCCTGCCCCCTCCAGCTTCCAGAGCGATCCATTCTAGTTTGATAGAGGGGTTTACGACTAAATAGCTGCGCAAAAACTAAAATATCAACAACAGAAGACTTGTCCTTACAAGTTGGAGCCAGAGTCTGTAAGTCCAGACTTTATTTGGCTGTTCTGTCGCAAATACTRTGAACATCAACAGAGAAAACTAAACGGGTTGAAAAATACACCCCAAAAAGAATACAAAGATATCCAYGCAGCACCGGGAGACTCCTAGAGACTCCAAGTCCACAAAGAAATGCATTTAACAGYTAAAAAGTGGATTTTGCATGATATGTCCACTTTAARTGTCTCACTCATTAATGGAACAGCTGATTTCTCACTTTTCTCTCATCTGTTTGAATCTGTGATTTCTAGTTTGCTGACCTGACTGAAGCTGCAGCCCGCAATAATGAAGCTTTGAGACTAGCCAAGCAGGAGGCCAACGACTACAGGCGCCAAGTTCAGGCTCTTACTTGTGAGGTGGATGCCCTGAAAGGAACTGTGAGTATGCAGTGTTTGTTGGCTGCAGATGCAAAAGCCTTTACAAAAGAGTATTTTTTTGAACAATCAGCAAAGATGACACATTCATGCATTTTCTTTTCTTTATTTCTTCGGTGTGACTGTTTCTCCTCCTTTGCTGCTGTGACAGAACGAGTCCTTGGAGCGTCAGATGAGGGAGATGGAGGAGAACTTCTCTCTGGAGAACGGTGGCTACCAGGACACCATCGGCCGCCTGGAGGAGGACATCCATAACATGAAGGATGAGATGGCTCGTCACCTGCGAGAGTACCAGGACCTCCTAAACGTCAAGATGGCCTTGGACATCGAGATCGCCACCTACAGGAAGCTGCTGGAAGGAGAGGAGAGCCGGTATGAAAACAAGATGCAAAGGTTTTATTTTAGTTTAGCTTTTTCTTTAGCTAAAGAAGCRTTGTGTGATTTGTGGGGTTTTGCTTTAACCACTTGCAGAATCTCCACTCCACTGCCTAACTTCTCCTCTCTAAACCTGAGAGGTAAGGTCGCCGTTCGCATGCTATTTCCACACCAAAAAGACTTAATTTAGTTGTTTACAGTCAATAACRTGCCTCGCTGTTTCAATCCGTAGATGCAATAGTTGAGTCTAAACCTCAAGTTGAAAGCATGACAACAAAGAAAGTTGTCATCAAGACCATTGAGACGAGGGACGGTCAGGTAGAGGTCACTCAAACATTTCTGAAATCACTCTGAGACACCTCTGATCATGCCATTACCTGTCCTTTTTTTCAGGTGATCAACGAGTCAACCCAGAATCACGAGGAGATGGATTAGAAACGGCTTTGATTTTGCCAAACAGTTGACACAAGCAATAACAAAAAAAAGCACGTCCYAGCGACACAAAAAGCAAACTGCTTGGAAAGTGCCTTTGTATGTGATGATGATCTTCTTAACTGACAACCTGGGTTTTATTTTTCCCCCCTAAAAGTATTTTGTCACTCTTGTAGACCCAGTTTGAAAACAGCACAACCCTAGTAATCCTGTGAAGTACACATACACTTTTCTTTGTAACCAAAGTAGTATGTTTGATTGATAAAGCATGCACCAGAAAACTGTATGCTAAATCTGTCACGACTACCTGCATGCAGCAATAAACTATAAACAACTCAGATGTGTGCTCAAAGCTTTTGTCAGAAATGGTCGCCACAGCTAAAGACGTCACGTGGCAGGTACCATCAAAGTTTCTTCGGGAATATTTCTCATTTTATTATAGTTATATCCCTGCTTTTATTACAGTTGTGTCAAATATAAATATACAGTAATTAGTCTGAACTGGAATCTTGAATTGCAGTTTTATCAGCAAATGGTGTGCAGTTTCATATGTGAGATGTTTTACCCCTCAATGAACTGGAGCTATAAAAAGAACCCAGATGAGTTTTATAAATGGAGCCCAGACTCACTCGTATATCATCCTTTTCAAAGTAAGAATTCATAGAAGAAGAACAGATGGTGTATAACGTTCACTTATAAGACTGGAATGGAGAGGCGAGAGATAGAAGCAGCATGTCAGCAGGAAAAAACAATCATTATGGTAAGATCTAAGTAAAGCCAGTAACGAACCTTCAGATTATCAGGTGTGGTTTTGATAATAAATAAATAAATAAATAAATAAATAAATAAATAACACAGTTAATCGAACTCCATCTGCTGCTGAAAGTTAGGTGAAATGATTAAAAAAACCTAGAGAAGAAACTAAATTACCTCTGAGGCAATATTTATAAAATACTCAGTAAATGCGGCAAACTATAGTACAGACAGTCAAAATCAAAATGCAGTAAGTTACTTATTTTTGAAAAAAAAAAGTGAACTCTTATTTTGAAAAAACGGACATCAAGCCAAATTGTTTAATTGACAATTATGTTTTATATTTAACTGCTGTTTCATGCAATGCAAATGCTTTTATAGAACTTATACAATGGGTCACATCTTAATTCTGTGTAATAATGTAATAAGTAATAATTATGTAATAAGTAATAATATGTAATAAGTAATAATTATTAATAATGTAGTAAGTAATAATTTATTTAGTGTAATAATGAAAACTAAGTGTACACCTTAAAATGTATCATTATTTAATCAGGATTACATGTTGTTTGAAATGTCTCAATGATTTAGAACTTTGTCCTTATACAGTTATTACTTGTTCTGTGCATTAAGAATGACTTTCAGCTATAACCATATACATTTTTAGTTCAATACATAGAAAAATTGGCTGATTTATATCCAGTTTTTGTGAATGCAAATGTCAATTAGCAGTAGCAACCATCTTGTATTGAACTGACTCCAAAAGTTAATCACTTGTAGATGCAAGTCCAATGATTACTTTCTGGAAATTTTTAATAAAGTCTGCAGAGTGTTTTGTGAACCATTTTGCTAACAGGTAAAAAAAATTTAAGTCCAACAATTAATGGTAAAAATTCAAACAAAAATCTTGCTCAGTGAGTAGCACTTACAGTATGTGTTGTGAAAGAACTTTAGTCACAAACATGCCAAATCTTTGCAAAATGTCTGCAAAACCGACTGAAATACCGACATTAAATACCGACATTAAATACAGACATTAAATACAGACATTCATATGCTTTCTAAGTTCAGTTGGCTGTGGCGGCCATCTTGAGTCGGTTCGGCTCCAAAATTGTATAAATTATGGGTGTTTCTTAAATGAATATTTCCTGAAAGGTTAATTAAAACCCGTTCTGTGGTTGATGAGATATTTTGCTAACAGACAAAACTAACTTCAAATGGAAAAACTCGGTTTTACTGCCATCTATCGGTGACTAATGAAACAGCAGTGTGGATTCTGTATGGCGCTCACAAAGGGCGGAAATAACCCCCCAGGTTCAGAAAAATCTCTTTTGTTTTGATTTAATCGTGTGCAAACATCGTGATTTTTGCACTAAATGGAACCTTTGACACAGAAACCCTCTGGTGAGGAGGTTATTTAGTTCTGTTCCGCTCATTTTAATAGTCCTGGAAACTTGTGGGCTAATTAATGTCGCTTGTTTTCACCTGTTGGTCCCGGGAGGTTGCCGTGTTTGTCGACAGAGCAACTTTCTCCGAGTGACGTGCCGGTCAGAGGAAACACAAACAGGAGGGGGCCAGAGAGACTGAAAACGCAGTCGCGTTTGGGACATTTAGTCTCTTAACCCCACAAAAGATGTAAGTGAAGTCTCAGCAGTGACACAGGCGGACATTTGTTGTCGCTTTCAACAGGTTTTTTGAGGAACATGAAACTCGGAGGAAGCAGCCGAGGTTTTTAACCTCTTTTTTTTCCCTCTCTCGGTGTTTGTGATGGGTTCAGTAACCTCAGCTCTAACCAGGACAAGGAATGCTCTGGTGAAAGTAGGTTCTGAGCCCGAAAGCAATGACCCGGAGAGGAGCCGGTCGGCCCCGGAGTCGGACCGGCCCAAGAAGAGGAGCTCGCGGTTCCCMCACGTCTCGAACCAAAGCGGCCGGCAGAGTTCCCGCCAGTCGCTGTCCGAGGTGCTGAGCAGGCAGGACTCAGGCTCCAAACTGGGGTCGAGGAAAAACAAGCCTCCAGAAGTTCAACAGAATGGTGAGTTTCAGACTCRAACAAATAAATAACAATACGATTTGTTAAATTATTTGGATTTATTTTTGAGGTAATGTGGACCACCTTTCACACACAAAACTATTTAATGATTTATAAGTGTTTCTGTGAACACATGAATTCAGAACAAAAAATTAAACGTCATCCTATCATTTCTATTTTTGAGCACAAATTGTTCATATGTACATAAAAAGTGAGGTTGACTGAATTAAAAATATTAACAGCAATACAAATAGGCTCACTGCTCAGTATTTTCAAACATTAACGACCATAAAAGGACCTAAATGCAAATATTTTCTGGAATAGAAAAGTAATTTCATTTTCAATTATTTATTTCAATGGCAGATTCAGGACAGTACATGTATTCACTTTTCTATACATTTTTAATTTTGCAACACACTTTACCCAGCTGATAAGCTGAAGATATTTAATAATTTGTTGTACGGGCTGACACTAGTGTCTGTCTGTTTCAATGAGTAACCTGTTTTTGGGCCTGTAGAACCTCTGATCCTAAAGTGACTTTAAAGTTTGATTTGTCTCCAAAGTTTATGAGCAAATGAACAGCTGTGAGCCATAATTAGAACAAACTCCTTATAGTTATTTTCCTTTTTTTTCCAGAAAAATAAATACTATGAGTGTAAAGTGGTTTGTTTAAGGTGATAATGTCACAAGCTGGGGATTCTGACTCTTAATTCTAGATTGTTATATTCAGTAGATACTCACATTTTTTGCCACATTTCCAATAAAATGTATTGTATTATATATATA